GGCTGGCTCGGGATTGAGGGATATGGGCAGAGCAGAGGGAACCCAGGCTGGGACAGCAGGTGGCTGAATCAGGATTGAGAAACATGGGCAGAGCGGCGGGGACCCAGCCTGGGACTGCAGGTCGGGATTGAGGGATGTGGGCAGAGCAGAGGGGCCCAGGGTAGGACAGTAGGGGGCTGTGGGTCGGGATTGAGGGATATGGGCAGAAAGATGGGATCCTTGCTGGAAAAGCTGGGGGCTGCGGGTCAGGATTAAGGGGCACTGGTTATGGGGTGGGAGGACCCCCTTGTCAGGGCTGTGGGACATCAGCAGGGCTGTGGGAGGGAGATGGTACGTCTTTGGGCAGCAGAATCTAGTGCTAACTCAACAATATTCTTTCATAAGCATTTTTTCCTGGTGCTCCGTGACCTTGCAGAGTCACAGGATGGGGGGTTGCCTCTCCTAGCCCCCCGCTCCTTACTAGGTCAGTATTCTGGGAGGGAGCCCAGCCGGCACCGGAGCGTGTCCATCAGGAAGCGGCCCTGACAGAGTGACAGGCGATTGATGGACAAGCAAGCTGGGAGGCTGCGGGAGCATGTGAGCAGAATGAGAACCAAAGGGAAACAATTAATGTCAAAGAGACACTCGCTCCAGTTAACCCTTCACCTCCCACAACACTACCACCGAGGACCCTCACCACGTGCCCCCAGAGACCAAAATCCCCCCACATCCATCCCCAGAGATGGCTCAGGCTCTGTCCATCCCCGGACAGATCCACCATCCACTCCTCCAAACACACCATATATACCCATCTGTCTAGCAAAGACATAGCTAGAGTCCTGATTGTCCATCATCCCTCAGTAAATGTCTGTCCATCACCATACTTCCTGTTCCCCACACATACACGCCAAGCCACTGACCTAAGCACTCATCCTTCCACAACATCCATCCATCCCTGTATGTACCATCAGGGCCGGCTCCAGGGTTTTTGCCGCCCCAAGCAGCCAAAAAAAAAAAAAGCCGCGATCGCGATCTGCGGCACTTCCGCCGCCACTCTACTGCCGCCGCTTCATTCTTCAGCGGCAATTTGGCGGCAGGTCCTTCCCGCTGAGAGGGACCGAGGGACCCGCCGCTGAATTGCTCCCGAAGAGCTGGACGTGCCGCCCCCTTCCATGTGCCACCCCAAGCACCAGCTTGCTACGCTGGTGCCTGGAGCCAGCCCTGTGCACCGTTCTATCCATTCATCCCTGCAACCCCATCTATCTCCATGCACAGCCCTCCATCCGTCACCACGCAC